ATTAATTAAGATTGAAATTAATCGTTGGCACCTTCATCAGCCCGTGACTCGTATGGCCTTTACGGATTGTGTTATTATTATTTTTATTTTAAGAATTCGAGTTTACAGAAATTTTTATTCATTAAATTGTTTATTATTTAAAATGTTTGAAAAATACATACTTTTTTATTGATATAAATGATGTTTGCTGATAATCGAATTTGCAATTGCGACATTACTTTTCGTCAATTAAATTAGACTCAATTTAAACATACAGCAGTAAATGTTAATAAAGATTTCAAAACTTTTGCAATACTCATTCGGCATCGTGTGGTTTAGCGGTATCCATCAAAGCGCTCTCGCGGCTGGCGCTTGGTTGCGCCGCACCTGACGGCGCGAACTTTACGTCCTGCGATTGGAAGATTTCAAAGGCTCACTATTTAAAAACTGTTGACCCCACAACATTTTGCTATTAACATTTTCGATTCAGTTTTTCATGAGGAATACGTACGTACCGGCATCTCCGGGTGGTCTGAATCACCCTGTATAATGTGACATGACGTTTTTCACCGTCCGTCACAAGGTTCATTCGACCTGGCCGAAGTTGCGCGGCAATTTTGTCTTGTGTCCTCCCGACGCGGAGGGCGGGCGTGCCAGCGCTTACGGCGATTTTTGAGCGATAATTTTGAGATTTTCGTTTTTGTGTTTAGCGGAATATTATTATTTCTTTTGCGAATCTATTTAAGATTTTTTAGTATCGGCGGCTTCGGTAGATAATTTAGTGTGCGACGCATCCTTTCACTTCAAGGGGCGACCACGAAGAGGATAGAAGATATTGGAGGCCCGAGGCCACCCAGAGAAGGGGTAGCGCACAGGTGATACCGTTTTGAATTATCGAATTAACGCCCTGCGCATAACTTGTTTTCCTGTAGCTGAACTCCTTACAGGCGAGTATGCCGCGGGAGCGTCTAAAGCGGCATGAGGGGATGGCCACTCTCCCTAGTTAGTACGAGCGAGGGATTTCGCTGTCGGTGCCGCAAGGAAGCTTCTGCTGAGAGGAGACATCGAACCCGGAAGCCGAGCCTATCTGTAAGGGAACTCACCGAATCCTGACGACACGCCGGCAAGAGTAGTCTAGAGGGGACCATTGTGTGCAGCCGAAACGATACTAGCCATAAATCAAATCCCGCGCGCACAAGGATATAGGGCGCGCGACGCGATAGCAATTCGCGAGGACTCGCGGAGCTCGCGAGAGGGCCAGTGACCAATCAGGGCCGATAAGGCTTATCACGTGGGCCCACGGTCGCCTGCGCGCCCCCGAAGGAACCTCGGGCCCGGCACTTGTGCCAACTTGTGCTGTGGACTCCCGAGGCGAGAGACGTGCGAGAGGACACAGGACGTGGAAAGTCAAGAGTACCGAGAGGATTCCGTGGTGAGACGAACATAACGTATTGTGAAACCGTCGATTTCCGGGTCGGAGGGATCGCACGTATTCGCGAAATTATCGTCGAACCCGCTGAGTTTGGTTCTCTCGCGAGTAACTGCGTCGCGGCTACACGCGCGCACCGCGTGATCGTGACATCACGTCCGATATCGTCTTAGTTTCGTTAGAATTTCAAGTCAATTATTTTGCACGCCCGCCGCGGCCACAGCCAGATCATTTTGTATTGTTGCGTCGCAATTTTGTATCGCGTCCTATCGTCACTGCAATATATCTTAGATTTCAGAAGATATTCTCGCATGTTCCCGAATTTCGGAGATTTTCGTAACTGCGCAATGGATTTCCGTAACCGTGATACCCGCGTTGCGTAGAATTACGTTAGAATTTGGAGCTCGTGCAGTAGAAAAGAAAATTTGTTATTTAATTAATATCGCGTGTCGAGAACATCACGGGGGTAAGAGCGCCCACCGAACGCTTGTATATCACAGAATCGTCAATCCGTCTGCCCGTGCGTATGGAACATTGTAATTGATTCAGAGAATATACTTGTTATCCTTTATTATTATCAATTCTGTCTATTTCGCCGCTGTCTCGCCTTACTCATTCTCCAAAGGATCCTCCGTTTCCGGCCACGAACCATCCCCCCCCCTCTACCATTATCATGGCTGAGCAGTCAGTTATTAGAGCCGTCCGCGTTCGTGATTCTATAGATTTCTGTACTTTTTGTGGGTGAGAACGTGACGAAAAACTTACGGAAGAAGGGCACGCTCTCTCGTGCCTAGCGCCCAATTATCGACGTTAGAATTTAGAGCACGCAAAATTTGAGAAAGCCGTTGTGATGTGTATTTTGAGTATTATCGGTAAGGTATGATCGCGTGCACAAGTGATGCAGAGCGATACCTGCGAACGTGCGACGAAGTGGCACCACGTGGTGCCACTCACGAGCGTACGCTCGTGAGTGCGGTTGCAATAATTATATACGAAATATTTCCGTATATTCTTCTTTTTTTTGTAAAATTACTGTTTGGTACAAGAAAAATAGTAATAATGAAAAAACATAAAAAATAACGAAAAGGATAATTTTTTTGTTCCTCTTACGAAACATCTAGTTTGAAGAAATGAGAAAAAATTGCTCATATATAACTATATAGAATGTTTTAGATATAATTATATATCTGAGTAATCCTTTCTCATTTTTTCAACTTGACTTTTTGTAAAAGAAACAATACGAAAATTGTCCTTTTAATTATCTATTTATATTTTCTCATTGTTATTATTAATTCTCTTGTATCGAACAGTAATTTTACAAAAGAAAGAAGGATATATAATATATACAGATTTATTTCGTATGTAATTATTGTGACGTTGCAGTTT